TCTGTTGAGATTTCGATGAATCGTCACCCAGTAGAGACAATTGATACGTCTCAGTGGGCCACATGGCGCTATGCCATTAGATCGCCTTTTTTTTCTTTTTTTCTCAGCAAATCGGAATACCCGATTCAACAACAAGATCCAGCATCATCTTGATCGAAGATGATGATTTCTCCGACGACGAGCGCTAAAACCGAGAATCTCCGGTGGCGAGAGGTGCGAGACCAGTGATACGACGATGGATGGAGTATCGACTCTCACATTCCCGATGTCGAGAGAATCGGAGTCCGCTTCTCGACTGAAATCTCTAATCACCGATATGATTCCTCACTTCTCCGACGATTACTACGGCGGCGTCCTCTCTGTTCGTTATGATAACAGAAAAGGAAGATCGAGGAAGATCAATGGTGGTCGACAACAAGATCCAGCATCATCTTGATCGAAGATGATGATTTCGATCCGTCTGAATCTCTGTTTTCTCGAAAACCAAACCAAATTCGATATAAACCGATTTGAAATTCGGATTTCAACCGGTACAAATCTTCAATCTTTGACAAAAACAAACCGGAGATAAAACTATAAGTCACATATCGACGAAAGCCGCTTCCGGAATTTTCCAGCTCAGTACCAGAGAGAGAAGAAAGAGATTGAGTTGAAGTCTCACGGTTAATTGGGAAAAATTAGTAAGTCTCAATTATTAAATTAATATTATTAAATATTGATTTATGATACCCATAGAAATTTCACCGATAAGAGCATCATTAACGGTGATACAATGTGGGTATCATTAAATATAAAATTATTAAAATTTGTGTAAAAGAAAGAAAGAGAGTGTTTTTTGTTAAAATAATGAGGTATATTAAAATATAAAATTAATAAAATTTGAGTAAAGAGAAGAGATAGTGGGTATTTTTGGAGAGATAATGTATCAAAGTATCAAATAGTTGATACTTTTGAAGAGAGAAAGAGTGTTTTTAATAATTTTATATAAAGAGAGTATAAAATTAA